CACCCCCTCACGTTCTTTCCCTCGCCTAACTTTCTTGGGGCTTTATATGGCTTGGGTACTCAACTTTCATCGTTTGGGTAACGCAAAACACGTCCTTTCGCGCTGGGACTTTGTCTTCTGGCCAGACTGGACTCTAAACTCTTCCTTCCTCCCTCCCGGGTTGGCATCTCGCCTCTACACCCTGTGAGGTTTCGAATTTCCCACCTGCTTGGTCCTTCCCCCCAAGTGGGGACGCAAAATACGGGTCGACACTATGGCTGCGGGGTCGGTATTGCACTGTCTCAGGTCTCGATTGGGTCGGTTGGCTCGGATACACTCAAAGGGGGGGCTGGCACGCCCTGGTCGAATGCTCCCCGACGCTACGATTATACCAAAAGGTTCTCCCATGTTAACCTTCCTGCTTTTCAATGGCAGGGCCGGGAGAAAACTGTGGGACGATGTCATATCAAGGAGGTTTCTTTTGTTTGGGTTTCCTTTGTATTTCCTTTCTCAAGAGAATACAGTGTGGGTTTTCTTGTTACTTCCTGCCGGTGCTTTGGGGGTTGTGGCTTTGCGGTTATGGGGCAGGGCTATGGTTTTCTTAGTGCAGGATGTGCGGTTGGTCCCATACCAGAGGGACTTGGGGCGGCTTGTTTTTCCCTAGGCCTGTGGAGGAGGTTTTTGACCGACATGCCGAAGAGGCCAAAACGGGGGTGTGGGGCGGTTATTACAGAGGTGCCCTGGTGGAAGGATCCATGTTTTAGCCGGACTGCGCCTTTAAAGCAGAGGTTTGCACCTATATAAGCAAATAAATTCTAGGATTTAACAACAAAAAAAAAAGCCCTGTTTTCGGGTTCCCGTACTGGTACAATAAGTACCTCTTGCCGGCTGCCGGCTCTCATTTGGGCGTCTAAGACTACCGGTATAGACTTCCCAATCAGGCACGCTAACCTTGATTTGGGAGGACCAGGGTAAAGTGGATAATGGTTGCTAAAGTGCTGAGTCACTCGAGCATTAAATCGCCTAGGTTAATACCCCGAAACAGCCATTCTCTAACCGATTTATATTTAGCGTGCCAGATTGAGAACTTTACTGTCCCAGGCTGCCCAAGGGATAAGTACCGGTACCTGTGCAAAGCATGATACCCGTGCAATACCTGTACTACCGGTAGAACACAGGCTCTCCTCGATAAATTCAGCGATAACAGTAGGCTAACTGGTCACAGTACGGTAGTTATCATCAGACTGTTCGACCGGGCCGGGCAAGCACATCGAAAATTTGCGGAGCTAAAGAGACGTGTGGGACCACCGATACCTGCACTCGAGTAAATTATCAAGCTTTGTTGATCGATTGAAAGAAAAAAAAAAACAACTTGATCCCCTCTTTCCAATCCACATTCAGCCGTTGGTGTAACTTCACTGGGCTATGGAAATTCTTGGCGGAAAATGCACAGCCCCGGTGCCTACACCCACACCAATAAATTAAATTTCACTACTGTACCAGGTATTATGATATCTCCTGGACTGCTGAGAATGTGGAAAATTTTGGCGGCCCCTGTCAGTGTCTAAGACAGAGGTGGCTGATCGACCAACTCAGCATTCTTGAGGGGTGATAGGCGTGGGTACGGTAGGAGTACTACTTGTAGTACGATCGTGCAACTATTACCTACGGTCTGAAGTATGCACATCTGCGAATTTATAGTAACTAACAGGATTTGCTTATTAACCTGTGTCTCAGACACTGACAGGGGTGGCACAAAATTTTCCACAGTCTCAGCCTCAGCAGTCCAGGAGATAGTGCATCCACCAAACCTTGCTAGCTACAACGCTGCGGCCCTCCTATTGACCGCACGGGTATCCCTACCGGTAGCGAAGACGAAACTCCGGTCCGGGACAAACAGAAGCACTGGCCGTCCGCATACCGGCACGGAATACTCGAGTACGGTATTTGTCGATGCCCTTGCTGCGGATTCAGTGTGGAGCTGTCGAAACGTTGATTTGGTCGAGATGGGGTAGCACCGCGTCGTACGAGTACACTACAAGTACGAGTACAACGTAGTCAGTACGAGCACTGCACCGTACTGTAATCGGTTGAGACGACGCAAAATGGTCCAAGTTACCGCAGCATTCCAACTCGGCCCTGATACCGATAGCTTTCTTCCACCGTGCGCCGAAGGAGAAAAGCCAGTTACTACAGTATGCAGTACCGGTGCAACTGTTTCATACGAGTACCCACGGTAGGGGTTGATGGGTGTGGGTTTAGGGGTTACCTTGTGGTGCAGGGCGCTTAGGGCATGTACCAGGCCTGTTGCATCCAGCAATGCCACTTCCTATACTGGTAAAGAGTTATGAAAGAGGAAATGAGTTTTGAGGGCACCAAGCCCGACTCCTGCCGGTATTGAGGATTATGTTATTTTCCCCCTCCTCTCCGTGCTTTGAAATGCTGATCTTGATAATTGAACGGAAATCAAGCAGCCTGGAGTATCAAAGTCCTAGTTTGTCCGCTAATCACCCTTTACTTGTATCCTACGCAAGCACCGGTAGAGGTACAAGTATCAGTCTCTGAATTACAAGGTATCTATCCCTGCAAACCCTCGAGAAAGAGTAACTATAAGCACACTCCTATGCGCTAAGGGCTGCCACCCTAGCCGGTTCCCAGCAACAACAAGGCACAATAAATTTCGCGCTGGCGCCCTACGTGGTTCTCCTTCTCGCAACACCCTGGGGCGTTTAGGACTTCGTACTCGTACAGTTTCTACGGTGGTCGCAGCGTATTATATGTACAGTACTCTACTAGTACATACACGCGGGGGGCCCACAATACCGGTACGGTACTCGAGGTCACAATTCGGCGGGCTTGGTACAGGTTTTAAGAGCTCTGCACCATACCGGTACCCGCAGTGGAACGGGGTTTTTCCCAGGATCTCGCGTGTCGTGTTGTGGGCGGGACTCCAGACATCGAGGGCTGAACACCCTTCTTCTGGCTCAATCCTCCTCGGAGTGTGCCGTACCTTATTCTTAGCACTACCGGTAGTACAATACGGTACGGCATTATACGAGCAGAGTCCCAATCCTCTCTCCCTGCCCTTCCAGCACTGCTTCCAGCCGAGTGACCCGATTTTGTGCTTTACACAGCCTTCCTTCCTTCTCTTCCCCGCTCTTCCCGTACGAGTACCTTAACCTTCTCCCTTCCTTTCCTTTCTCCCCTTTCCCTTCTTTCCTCTGCCTTCCCGTCTTGTTCTTCTCTACTCGCATTACGGCGCCGAAGCTGATTCTTTAGTATCATAAAAGAGAGAAAAAGAAAAAGAAAAGAAAAGGAAGAGCCCCTTCTCCAGCAATGAAGGATAACCGCTGGAACACCGTTGCTTTTCTACTCCTGCGCACATCACAGCTCGTGCTGGGGGTGATCATACTAGGAATAACCGCTTACTTCGTAGCTAATTACGACGAATGGTATCTCCCTTACCCTCACCTCTCATCAAACAGAACAATACCTAACCGCAAGAATAGGTACGTGGGCTTCACCCTCGCTGTCGGCGGCTTAACCCTAGCTTGGATAGCCGCAGCCCTAAGTCTCTTTTACACGAACAACCTTTTCCCTCTCGCCACGATCATCGTGGACGTGCTCCTAGCAATAGCCTACATCGTCTCCATCGCGACAATCGCAGATGACAACCCCGACACCATCACCGGCTCCTGCACCTACTACAGTTATTGGACCTCATACACATACGTTTCCAAGGACTGCAATACACTGAAGGGCCTATTTGGCATTCTGATCCTGGAGATGTTGACGTTTATCGGAGCGATTATCTGGGACGGCATAGTCCTGTACCAGAATCGCGATGGGGGGCCTGGGGATACGGAAGCCGCTCCGCAGAATCCCATGCACGGTGGTGGGCAGATGGCCCCGGCAGGGGGAATGTATGGGATGCCAAAGCCCATGATGGGCGCGACAAACGGCGAAAATTATGGGCCGCAGACCTTTTTGCCACAGTACCAGCCGACGAATTCCCCGATTTATCCGGCTCAGGTTGCATCACCGACTTCCCCGTATGGCGCTTACGCGCCGCCACCAACCATGCCGCAGCAGGCCGTCATGATGCCGCATCACCAACATCAGCAAATCCACCAGGTTCAGCAGCAGCAACACCAGCACCAACAACAGTCCCCGCATCAGCACCAGGAGCAGAAGCAGCCTTCGGAGTTGGGTGGAGTGTATTGATGGAATCTCCCTTTGTTGTGATTTTACGACTTTTTGCTCACGAAAAAGGTTGGGTTTCGTTATTTTCGTCCTGTGTGTCACATTTTTCACCCGTCAGGTTTTTGGCCTGTGCGGCTATTTTGCTTCCTGAGATTCATGATAATGCGGCTGTTTGTTTGCTTGTCCCGTTTGCTTTCCTGTCAGATTTCGCGCGCGTTGTGGGGTGACTGGTTGTGTTTGCTTAAAAAGGCTCGAATCAGCTTTAGTCTGACTCTGTCTGAGTATCACTATATGCCTGTTCCCGGGTTGAGAACCTCTCTTTCCTCTACGGGGTTGATCCCGGTGGCTGGGGTCATAGGTGGTCACCCATTGTAATCAGTTTACCCACTAATTTAGCTCTGGGTGGTGGTGGAACGGTACAGTAGCAATCTGATAAACTATCACATCATAATCGCTAAATAAATTGCACGCACTGTACGTACCGTACGGTACGCGCTGTACAGTAGAGAATCCATTTCCTTCATCCCTTGTTCGCCCCTCACATCCATCCCTTCATTCATTAACCTCCCCTCACTTGCCGATTATCTTCATATTATTACTGTACAGTCACACCCCGCTGTCCCGTATAAATCTCTGTGTGTAAACTCTGAATTTCTTTCCACCAAAACCTCACCCGCTGTCCCGGACCCCTCGCTGTACCGGACAAATTCTTCGGATTTTGGCCGTCCGGGATAGCGAGGTGCGACTGTACTGTATATAATTTATTTATTCAAGGGGTTTCAACCAACCCCTTCTCAACTAACCCCTCCGCAGCCTTCTTCTTGACAAGCACCTCGCCAACCAGACTTCCCTCCTCCCTCAACACCTCCCACTCGCCAATCCCAGCCTTCTCCGGTGCCCTTCTCACTCCCCTCCCGCCCCCTCCAATAATCAGGTTCCCAGGCCGATACCTCTCATCCGCCCTCATCCTCCTGATCACGCTATTGTGTATTTTGACCGTTTCGGGTATATCGCGGACCTCACCGCAGGGCAACGGCCAGATAATGGGCTTCCAGGACCCGTCGGGCTGCAAGTCCATTCTGCGGAAGGGGAGGTACTCCATCAATTTCCAGCCGAGGGTTCCGGCCAGGGAGAGACCACCGGAGGGATAACAGAGGCAGTCGTGGATTTTGCCGCGGGTGTAGGAGTTTAGTAGGTATGTCTTTGGCTCTGCCGCTTTTGGAGAGGTCGAGTCTGGTGTTGGGGTGCGAGTGTTAGAGTGTATACCATTGGTGGGTGTTGGGGTGAGGTTTGCGCTCTGCTGTTGCTGTTGTTGCTGCTGCTGGGGGGTTTGCATCAGGTTATCCGCCGAGGAAGAGGTTGACGATACCTCAATCTTCGGTATCCCATCGCCACTAGTTACGGGATTTATCGGGGCCTCGGGCACTTTGGGATCCCGCTCTTCGGTCTCAAACTCGTCTAGCCAGACGTTCATCTGCTTCATGCGCTCTTTATCGAATACCACGCCGGCTTTGCGCGCTTCGTGGACCTATTATTACATGTTGGTCATGCTTTATCACCCGACCCGAAGTGCGAAGGGAGGGCATGACCAACCATCCAAACCAACGGCCCATGCGACAAGGGTTCCTCCCCGTCGGGTAAATCCCACCCGCCACCGATATCACCGTGCGCACCGGGAAACCAAACCTCCTCGATATCCTGTTCGGCCTTCTCGTTCCCGTCGTCCGAGTCGCTTTCAATATGGATGTTCAAACTCATCAGGCTCCCGCCATCACCGCCATTTCCGGTGATACTCAGCGCTTCCCGGCTCCCTGAGAATCGTTGCAATTTCGAACCAGCGTTGGCGGAATCGCCGTTTTGGCAGGGGTGGCTACTTTTGTTGTTATTCTTATTCGATTTGGAGGCGAGGCGGTGGCCTAGGGCAGACTTTATCAGATGTTCGGTCCTGAAGGAGCGGCGGCGGGCCATCTCTTTTATGTCGACTTTCTCCACAAGGTCTTGGCGGAACTTGGCACGACGTTCGTCAATACCGACTGCGTGGCGGATTACTAAGGCAGTACCTACCCGCCCATTAGTGTGAGGCTCAAAATGTGAAGAGGTGGGACGAAGGGGGGGAAGCACTTCTAGCGGTATAAGGGAACCCAGCGGACCTCTTCAACCATGCGTTCTCAAACCTAGGAACCGAATTCACCGTGTCAAATAGTCCCAGAAATTGAACCCTGCGTACCGGTCTAGCGAAAGTTTCCCGGAAAGCTCGCATGTAACTATCCCCCCGATCATTGTCAATAATTTGCACAGACGTTGCTCGCTTGAATGGCGACACACTTGTACATGTCCTGCTTCCGGGCACCCCATCCCACCCCATCCTTCCTCTGCTGCCAATTCGAGAAGGTCTTCCAGGCGAACATAACCATCTCCTCATTCCCCTGCGAAACGAGACCGACATGGTCCAGCATTTCCGCCAGAAACCTCGCGGTGTAGGCCCCGCGTGAGAACCCGAATAGATAGATGTCGTCCCCTGGTGCGTAGAATCGCATCAGGAACTTGTACCCCCCTATCACATGTTGATCGAAAGATGTACTATCGGTATTACATAATCCACGGGCGTTAGTCTTCCCCCGGCATTCCGGTATGTAGACTACCACGGATGTTGAATTCTCGAATCGAGATCGAGGGGAGCTCATACCCAACAGCTGCGTCCAGGGCTTTTTGATACCAGGATTTAAGGCGTGATCCGAGGCGCACTCGCGATAACGTCCCGTTTGTGATGTATGTGCCTATTCCGGCTATCATCACGTTACTTTATTAATATCTACCATAACCATTGTGGCATTTCTGCGGAAAAAAGAAGAAAGAAAAAAAAGGAGAAAAGGGTGAGACTGTTACACTCACGTTGATAATAATGAACTATCTCGCACCACGCGATCGATCGAGGGCCCACGTGATCATTCAGTCAGCATTTATCCCACTTCCTTGCCTTTTCCCAGGAACCAAACGTCTATAAGTTTCACTTAGGCAGCAACAACAACAAAACGACATACACTGATCGTTCCCCGACCGATCCAACATCCTGAATATCTTCAAGATGTTCGTGTCCCCGTCGTTCCCCTTGAATTTGTTCCCTGTTCCATCGAAGCATAAGATCAACTTCTTTCGCTTGTGCATGTGAGGGGTGCTGGTCTCGGGATGATACGTGAACGTGTTCTGAGGCGCGGTGGACACTGGGGTGGGGACGGAAGGGGGGATATGTGCATGTGGCGTTAGGTGGTGGGAGGCAGTGTTGGAGTGGAATTGGTGGTCCATAGTTTGTTCGTTCTTCCTTTTGAGTGACTGTTGTAAAGTCTAGATAGTAGCCGACTCTTCTTCCAGAGGATGATGCTTAGGAGAGGAGGCGGAGGCGGAGGCGGAGGAGGAGTTAGAGTACGGATTAGAGGCCAGGCTGGGGGGAGGGGGGCTACCGGTGCGCAGGGACAATTATGATATTAATGAATGAAGGGATGGACAAGACAAGGTAACCTATAGGACATGAGAAGAGTGGAGAGGAGGTAGGGGGAAGGGAAGACGCTGGAATACAAGTACTAGCTCAAACCCTTGGACAACGGATGATTCACCGAAAGGCTGCCCCATTTGCCTAACCTCGGACCAGAAGACTTCTGTCTGAAGAGTGGGGAGCGTACTCTAGATCTGTAAATGTATTGGGCGGGGCGGGGCGGGGGGGTATTTCAATGCAGTCGTGACCCGGTCTTTTTTCAATAGGTAGTAGTAATTTCCTTTCCAACTGAGACAGAATGCATGTACTCGAGTACCCGTATTCTTCAGCGCGTGATAGAAGACAAGGTCCCCCCTGGGAGTATTTGCCGTGCGAATTGAGGGAAGAGGGTGCAGCGTCCGCCCGGCTACCCACCTCTGGGTGTAGAGGGAGTATGTCATATCTGTATATTTGCGTGCATAGGAGTGTTGTCTTAAACCGCTCTAGAATTAACTTTAATTGTCACTGTTACATCAGCAATTGTTGCAACAGATCTACACGGATACCATAGATAGTTTCTGTTACCAACCCAGATAACTCGAACACGACGGCTGCAAAATGGACAACTGCGATTGAGGACCACTGAACTCCATCTGACTTCGGTCATCGGTGCCCAGGTCACCATAATTTCTCCCGGCAGCAACCCACCTCCCAGTTTTCGCCTTGATAGATTCGCATTCACGTTCTCTCACTCACGCTAAGTATCATGGTGTGCATGGTACTACCAGTTGAAGGATCAAGCTTCCATATTTGGGGGGAGCGCCTTCCCTTACCACACCATCTTAGCCGAGATCTTCTCACGTATCTGTTTCCCACTCCATCCCGCCAAGAGTCCCGCACGAGCCGTGGGGCCCCCTAATCCTTGTAGTGTCGATCAGTGGCAATAATTGTGTCTGCCGTCTGGGGTAAACCTTTTGGATACCATGCTCTTGGCAGAAAAACCTTTCGGATATTGTACCATCGACCGGGAAACATACCATCGAAAAAGTGAAACCTTTGTACTCGTACACAATTATCTTCCTTTGCCAAGAACTCTAAGAAGATTGCTAAACACCTTCAGTATTA